ACACACACCCCAATTTTATATATATAAAAAATTGGTATTGGGGATTGAACTCAGGGGCATTAGACCACTGAGTCACATACCCAGCCCTATTTTGTATTTTATTTAGAGACAGGGTCTGAGTTGCTCAGCATCTCGCCATTACTGAGGCTGGCTTTGAACTCGAGATCTCCTGCTGGGATTACAGATGTGCACCACTGTACCAGGCTCATAAATAGAAATTTTTGCCTTCAATAAAAGTTCTTCCTGTTTGAAATCTTTCATTGTCTTCTCCCACTTATGCAACAAAGCTGAACTTTATAGAATATCATTTTGGCATATTAATGATTTTATGTATTTCTAAGACATTCCTGAAGTTTCTTCACAGATCTTTCTTGCCATGTAGACATTTTCAAAATCTATTGATTCTAATTATTTCAGTTTAACATTTATAGAATACCTATTATGTTGCAGATTCCAAGCTACCTTCTGGGGTTACAAAGTAGAGTTCCTGCCTGGTTCTATGCCTAGAACACTTGACTCACTGATTTTAGTCTCATAATTAACTCTGCCAGAATTGCACTGGAAAGAGGAATCTCCTAATGGCTATTAAAAGCCACAAGGGAGAATCCAACCAATAAGGAGAGCAATCCAGATTACTAGGGTGGTAAGTGGACAAGAAGAGATAGGGCGGGGTTGGGGGTGGACAAAAATGAATGAGAACCTTCCATGCAAAAAAATTGGGAGAAATATTGGAATTTAGACCCTAATGAAAAAAACATACTTTAAAGGTCAGGAGGCTGGGGATGTAGCTCAGTGGTAGAGTGCTTGCCTAGCATTAGGCCCCGAGTTTGAGATCTAGTATTAAAAATAAATAAATAAATCAATGATACGTTTTTCTAGCCTAATGTAGGTTTTTAATTTTGTTATGTTATACTTATATAATAAAGGCAATATAAACAAAAACAATAAGAAACAATGCATATTTCATTAATTTTATTTTGTGGTCTGGGGATTAAACCCAGGATCTCACCCATGCTAGGCAAGCACTCTTACAACTGAGCTACTACCTCAGTCCTTGCTATTTTAAATAAATATATTTATCACAGCATTAATGTTTGCTTCCACATGTTTTTTGTTTGTTTTATTTTGAGGTGCTAACGCTGGAACCCAGGGCCTCAGGCATGCTAGACATACTTTCTACGTCTCTTAGCTCAACATGATTCTTTCTTAACATTTCTTTCCATAAAAATCTGTGAGGAAGAATATTATGTCTCTTAGCGAAGTTTTAGTAAGGAACTTTAAGTGTTTAGATGTAGGAGTCACAAAGGAGAAAGAAGGCATTTTTTTTTTCCCCTTGATGATGTATACCTCCTGACATATTGTGGTGTTTTGTTGAAGGAAGTCTGAAGAATTCTAGTTCTAAAGGTGCAAGGAAAGGATCAATACTTCCTGTTTCTTATCAGCTGAAGGGGCTCACCTCAATCTCCTTTTGTCTTCTGAAAATAAAAGAAAGGAGGCAAAGGATGTTAAAGTGGAAGGTTAAACCCAGGCGCTTACCAACCTCTGCAGTTTCAACAGTTTTTACTTAAGAAGCTCCTACAAAGCAGATGTTCCCCGAAATAAGAGTAGTGGGGTACCGAGGCCCATAAGGCAGACAGCGCACAGCACAGGTGGGGGCCAGCAGCTCGTTCTGGAATGGGAGGTGCCTGTATTATGCAGGTGCAGGGATTGTGATCTCTCACTCTGCCGCCTCCTTGTCCTGCCTCCCGAGAGGGCGGGAACCATAGCGTTGCAGGGTTCGGGACATGGCCCCTGAAACAGAGAAGAGCTCAAATGTATTCCTGGCAGTAGACATCAATCTTGATGGATACCCACACCTGGCCTGGGGAGGGGAAACAGCATCCATAAGAACCACCGGTAAGAGACAAGCTGCTGGTTTGGGACGCTAGAGGGCTGGTCTGGCTTGGCTGGTTATGACTATTCTCCCGTGATTGCTTTCCCCGCCCGCCCATCATCCCAGTGCTCTATATCTATTGGATCCTCTATCTGCCACTCAGTTCTGCCGCGCTGACCCCCATTGGCCCCCTCCGACTGAGACCCCGCCCCAAGAGCTGGGCACAGGCAGTGAGGCTCCGGGGAGAGAGCCCAGCGCTTGCTCTGGGCTGGGGGGGAAGCGGTGGTGGCTCCGAGAAGGAGGAAAAGGAGAAGGAGCCGGGCCAGTAGGAGGCAGCGGAGGCGATCGGGCCGGGGTGATGGTGCAGGTGCCCCCGGCGGGCGCGGAGCTGCCGGGCTGAGGGGCGCCTGGTCCAGGGTCCGCAGCGCCGCCGCGTCGCTCTCAGGGACAGGCGAGCGGGCGGGAAGATGCTGAGCAGGTTGATGAGCGGCAGCAGCAGGAGCCTGGAGCGCGAGTACAGCTGCACCGTGCGGCTGCTGGACGACACCGAGTACACCTGCACCATCCAGGTCAGCACCGCGCCGCCTCGTCCGCGGGGTCCCTCAGTCCCACGAGTCGGTTAACTTGGCCGGTGGCCACCGCCCGGTGGTCTCCTCAGCCCCAGCGTCGCGCTTTTGTCCATTCTGCCTGCGGAGGACCGCCCGGATACAGGGCTCCTTTGCTGGAGCCCCTGCTGGGGTCAATACTCAGCGTCGCCGCGGACAAGTCAAAGCGCCCCGGTCCCTCAACTCCTCTCCTGCTTTCTCTCGGGGGTGTAGGCGACGGGTTCTGACTCCTCGATCCCTACTGGGTCGGGATCACGCTCCGCGGGCGTCCAGAGGGAGGCGGGCAGGGCTCCTTCTCGGGCCGCCCCGTCGGGGGGCTCAGGCTTCGACTCCCCGGCTGGGCAAGGACGACTGGCTGGCTTTTCTTAGGTCTTTGGTTGGAAGGATAAAGGTTTATGTCATAATTTCTTCCCTAGCATTTGTGAGTCAGAGCTCTCAGAAGGTGGAACTGAACGCGCAGCCCATGCAGAGTGGCCTATTGAAGGGAGCCCAGCCCTCTGGGCTTTAAAGATTTAGGCCCCCCTCCTGCCTTTTGATCCCGAAACCTTATTGTGTTAGGTATTTCTGAGGGGCGTAAGGTAGACACTTAGCAACAAGTCTCAGCTATTGGGGTGGTTGGCAGTGGCCAGAAAGAATCAGTGACTTAAAAACGCCAACAATACAGTAATGCTGCACAGCATTTCTTTCAGAACCTGCTATTTTTGAAGGGATTTTTACAACCTCTTGCTTATGCTTCTGCACTACTGCTGTGTGCCACGTCAGGAGTAGTAGTCTTTCCCAGGAATGCAGTCACAGCCCCCTCTTCTCCTTTATAAAGTCAGAGATTGAAAACATTTGACAATGCTCCCGGTGTTTAGTTCATCAGCTACGAAGATTCTGGGCGCACAGCTAGTAACTGCTCTTTGTGAAGAAGCAAATTGAGTTAGACCCGGAGGGGTCTCACCTGATCCCTTTCCTTTGCAGTAAGAAACCAGAGGAGGCTTCTCGGCTCAGATGTGATAGACAAAAACTGCCTGCCGGGGTCTTTCCTCTTTGGCATACCCACCCCCATTTATTTATTTATTTTTGCTGACAATGCTCAATAGCGGAAAATAGCGGTGTGTGAGAAAGACGCTGGGTAGTATATGAGAGCAGCTGCTCTCTGCTGACTCTGTGCTCAGTTCAGCCTTTTCTCCGCTTTCCTTTCCTCCCTCTCCCCAAACCAGCTCTGGGCCAAAGTGATGACTGCTGCCAAAGATCCATGAGGTTAAAGAAAGAGCCATTTAAATACAGATTAAACAGTCCTAAAGATGCCATCAAGTTAAAGGATTTTGTAGTTGAATATGGCAGAGAAATGTTATGTATTATTTCCTTAATGAATGAGTGGCATACTACTTTTTTTTGTCTATTGTATCATTGTGCCACGTATAGTTTTTTGTTTTGGTTGAGGAGGAAAATAACATGGAGTTGATATTTTTGTTATTTGAGAATATTTGAAGTCTATATCCGTTTGTTTTGAAATTGAAGGCATTTTTACACAATAGCCTATCAAGAGCAGTGTGAGATTTAGAGTTCATGAGTCTTAAGAATAGTTTTCCTATATGAGGTGAAATAAAATTTCTGGAGCAGGTCATTAACTTTTACCAAGATATAAAGTATAATGAACACAATTCACATTACCACTCCACTAGAAACTATTGATAATCTTGTGGTTTTAAGGTCTCACAATAAGGGAACTAATTATTTTTCCCAGTTGGTGGAACTTATGAGGTTGGTTGATTGGTATTACAATTGTGGGTAGTTTTATTTTCTCTCATTGTCATTGAGAAAAATAATATTTTCAAGTTAAAAAGAATATTTTTAAGTTAAACAGGATTCACTGGATTTATACTTGCTATATCCTACTACAGTTGTATTTGTTTTCCTGCTCTTATATTACATTATTATTATAATTTAATGCTATTAAAAAATTAAGTATGGTGTAATTGGTCACACTGTAGTCAGTGTCACAGTCTAGATGTGTTAATGATTGTGCATTGTGATTCTTGTATGGAATCTAAAAAATAGGAATTCTAAAGTATATGTAATGTCATTCTTTGGCACCACTATTTGAATTGCTTTTGTTTTAACCCATGTGAGGAAAGATTATATAAAAGAAATACAGTATCTTATATGAAATTAATATTTTTACATATAGCTTTTTGATCATTTAGAGATTGAGATTTTCTTAACAACTTGTCCTGTACATTTCTATTATGTGTGTGTGTGTGTGTGGTGTGTGTGTGTGTGTCAAACACTGGGTACAGAGTCTGTTAAATTAGTATGGAAAGGATGGGTAAGCTTCTTATTAGGTGAAGCAATATTTCCAACAACTTAAAAATTGAAGTACTGTATATAAAAATTTTGGGTGCTAATTTGAACTCTTTTTTTTCCTTGAAGTGTTGTTATGTCATGTTTGTGTTTAAATAAGGGTTTGTATTTTAGAAGGATTTTTATGACTTTTGAGATAATCAGAGAACACTTAAGTTACAGGGCTAGAAATGTATCACTGGGTTGTAATCATGATAGTCATATTTGGTAAATTTCAGTTGTAGGCAGTTCTGTGAAAGTATTGGTCAAGGGTTTCATAATGCAGCAGCTATACTGATCTGGCATTTAGGATGTGCTTATTAATATAATCAAAATGCCTTATATCTTCTCAATGAAGGATGTCACAGTTTCTTTCTTTCTGATATGCAAATGTATTTGTAGACCATGAGAAATGAAATCTTACATTGGAGGTCTGTAATATAATTGCTCCCCTGTGAAGAACATTGTTAATAGCTCCCTGCCAGTTTTGAAGGTCATTGCCTCATAAGTGCAGAACTGGTCCATATTTTTCACTTATCTGTTTTATTATGCATATCTATTTTATGTTCTACATTTACTACCTTACTTTGTTATTTTATTTGGGAGAAAAATGGGAAAAATGAAAAATGAGAAAGCTATCTAATGTCTTTGAATTCAAACTGAATGGAGTCATTGAAATGCCTAGGCATGTAATATCCTAAGGAATATTTTTTTAAACTATCTTTTATGTTATAATTATTCATAAGTTATTAAGAGTATACATTGCAGAATTTTTTAGTAAAAACATGTATTAAAAATACATACTTCAAGTGAGAAATTTTAATAGTTTTTTTTTGTTATTACTGAAAGGTAAAGGTATCCTAGAAGTGAATTTGATTTTAATAGGGATACATTAAAATAACTGGTTAAGTAGCCAAGTTAAACTGACTTTTAAATAAATTACAACCATAAATAAAATGTAAGTGCAGAGGCAGTTCTACAGAGGGACCAATATTTTGATTTGATTGTGGTTTATCCACTTGGTAATTTTGGCATCTAGAGGGGGGGAGGGAGAGAACAAATGAATTGAGTCCTGTGCTTGTCAGGCACTCTACATGTATTGTTATCTCCTTTCTGTCACCATAGCATTATGGATTGATTATACATCCATTATACAAGATGAATGGAATTGAGGGTTGGTGGGAGAGCACTTGCTTTTCGAATGTCTAATTATGTACTGAGTGTGCTGTTAGATGCTTTGCTTACACCTCAATCAACCATTTGAGAGGTAGGTGGTTTCTATTTTAATGATGAAAAAACAGGTCTAGGAGGTCAAAGAAATTTTGCTCAATATTAGTCGGTGGCTGTAATATACTTAAGAACTGATCTTTTTCTCTCAGAAAAACAGAATTAACTGTTTTTGTTTCCTCTCTCCATCTTTTTTTAAAAAAAATGTTTATTTTATTTATTTATTTTTATGTGGTGCTGAGGATTGAACCCAGGGCCTTGCACGTGCTAGGCGAGCGCTCTACCGCTGAGCCACAACCCCAGCCTCTCCTCTTTCCATTCTGACTTCCCAAGTCATTTTATCCCTCTTTACCTTCGTTTTCTCATCTGTAAAATGGAAATATTAATACTTATTTTATAGTCAAAAGAAAATGACTTGAAAATATTACAAATAATAAGGATCACTTAAATAGACTAATATATTACATTGTGGCTTATTCAAGTTGAAAATAGAATTGGAAAATGTTTTATTCTTTTTAAAGAAAATAAATCAGTTTATTCATTAAGTGCCTTTAAAATGATTTCTGACTAATTTCAATGAAATTTTAATATCCTAGATTGGAATACCTCGATTCTTTATTAGGATTCTTTTAAAAAATCCTTTTTAAAAAGGAGTTCATATTTACCTTCCTTCTATCCTGTCACGTCTTTGGCTTCAGAGGAGCATTTATTCCTGGAGTATGATTTGTCTTTTCTAAGAATTTCTGCTTCATTTTGAAAAGTGGAAGCCTTGGTTTCATTAATGCAAAAGGAATGTTGTTAGAAAATTAGATAATTTTATTCACAGAGAAAAACACAAAGTTATCATATTTTCATGTTGATTTGTACTTTTTTATTTTAACAGATAATTATGCTTTTTCAGTATCTTTGTTACAATAGCAAGTCAGTTAGACCAGCTCTTGAAACTAAGATAATTCCAAAATTAGCCTTGTAGAAATCCTAAAAGCACTTGTATTGTTTCTTAATTTCTATACTAAAATATTTATTGTATAAAGCTAATTGAAATCCATCTTTTTTTATATAGAGGGTAAATTCTAGATACGCAATTGTGCACTCATTCTTTTTCCTGTTTAAGGAAGAGTCAGTGGAATCTGAAAGAGATTCAGAAGGATTCACCATGGCAGATTTTACTCATGGGTATTTGTATGAATTTGCATTCTGTTAAATGTTTGGAATCAATATACTAGATGAGGCTATTCAACATAGTGTCTAATATAAAAAAAGCATGAGGTTTTTGAGTCCTTTATTTGCTACAATTGCCCAGGGGCTCATTTATCATAGTTGTACTCTCATTCATATCAAACTTAGAATAAGACATTTTTGTTGTATCTTTGTAGTGGTTTTAGGTATAGGCATAAAAATGTTTAACA